CACTTTGAGTATGCTTGAAATATAATCTTACAATCGCATACGAGTCGTCAAAACGTAGAGTTACATATAAGTCACATTTTGTATAGTTTCAATGCGCATAAAAGTACCCGTATATATATTGACAATAAACCCCTCTTTCACATTGTGCAAATACAAACAAGACAATAAACCTTCCTGACAGTAACATGTAAGTGTTGTATAAACCTGAATGAAATGTCCGGAGTCATGGCGAATAATTCTAGCGAGTCATCCCTCTAAAAACCTCTTCAACTAACCAAAGCCAATTAGTAATGTGCGGGGTTATTAATTAAATAAAAATAATTTTATTTACACTTACATATACCCCGGAGGGATTGGCAATGATTACAAATGTTCAAGAAAGAATAAAAGGTTAAAAAAACTAGAAAAAACTAAGCTAATACATTACAGACAAAAAATACTAAGACTAAAACTTAACTGTGAAAGAAAATTGTCACATCAAGGTACAACTGAAAGATCCAGTGCCGGAATGAAGGATTATTTTGTATGATTTTCATGCATTTTTGACATTAAAATTGTTGTCATTCGGCCATCTTGAATCGAAAAGTGAAACAAATGCACGTGCATATGTATGATATAGTATCTGTATGCGTTATTAAGTTTGAACTTGGCCAGTGCAGGTATGTGTGAGATACAGGTGGATACGCATGGGCACACGTTGGTCAATTCACAACCCTTCGTTTTTCGGACTAGAAAGCATTCTACAACGCATCACCTTGCGGTACTCATCCATTCGTTAACAATGCAAGCAATACTCGGCTCAATTATATTTACCTGACCTGATTTCTGTATTTACCAAACTTTGCTGTCCCTTCATACAACCCCAGAAATCAATTTCATATCTCAACATCTCACAGTCGCTTTTTTAAATATCACACAGTTAAAGCTGCTAATAATACTATGTGATTTTATCTTACAATTCATTGTGTTGTCACACTATGTTCTTGCCATTTTCGCATTGACTTGTTTAATTCTATGTTATATACTGTGCATGAAAATCCATTCATGTTTGTTTTGTACTGATAAATTATAAATAAATTACATGTGGCATATCGAGCTGGATCAAGAATAGAATAGAATGGAATAGAATAGAATAGAATAGAATAGAATAGAATAGAATAGAATAGAATAGAATAGAATAGAATAGAATAGAATAGAATAGAATAGAATAGAATAGAATAGAAATAGTTATATAACATCGAAGGTCTATTACATAAAGCGGAAAAAATGAACAATGTACAATACACAGACAGATTAAAACTTAAAAAATGTATTTACAAATTTAGCAAGGCTATTCATAATAAAATCATTACTTGAGCTTAATAGTTGTTAAATTAAGCCTAGGTCATATATACGCTGTCTCATGGTAACCGAAGTAATCTGTAAATACGACACTTCAGTTATATCAGTTATTACAGGATATAATAATATTTTGTTTATGTTCATAAATGTTTTTTTTTACAAAACTGAAATATATACAGATAACGTTAGTCTTATTAATTCCAATCATGTCTACATAGTTTTGTATGCGATGTACGGAAGTTATTATGCTGCTAAATTTTGATTATCATTAAGTAAAAGTTGATCCACTCAGTCTAATATTTCCAATGTGTTATAAGGGTAATACATATTTTTGTTCAAATAGGGGGTCGTAGTTATAAACGCTCAGTGAAGAATCGAGGGAAGAAAGTGAGCGACACTATGAACGCATCAACGATGAGGCAAGATATTGATTGGAAATTTCACGTGAATAAGGACAGAAATACCGAAATATCACACACTCTCATAAAATATCGCCCAAATGAGACGCTGCTTACTCAAATTAAATTGTCAATTTACCAAGCAGATGTGCAAATTACTAGCATTCTCGCGGTAGATTCTCGCGGTAGTTACCATGGACACAATCAATATACATGTGATATAATGGAGTATATACATACTGTGTTGAAGTACTCTACGGTCGTCACAGTTCAATCCGAGCAAGATTGTTCATAAGATACGCATCGTCAAATAAACTAGACTAGTGTAGAGTATAGCCTAATGACATTGTACTCGAGTCGATGTTTGCGTCATAGTGCATAGCGTCTCAACTCTATGTGCATGTTTAAAGCGTACACCACAAACAAGTAAAGTGGCCGTCTGCAAACAACGTATTTTACACGCGTTGTGTACGTCGCTATGAGTCTCATATCGAATAGGACGCGGCGTGACAACTGCCGCCCTTTAAATAAAACAAATTAGATAATTAATTATTGTTATTTTTCATGTGGGGGTTTGTTTATGAAGTGCTATATTGTTTTCTTCACGTTAGTACACGTCATAGTAGGCCATATAAAGTGAACATTTCATTTATAAAATTAACGTAGATAGATATATTAGCCCTGAAAAGCATTTATCGAACGATTTTCAAATTGTGATTTTTTTTCCTCCCGGTATATTTACAACTGTTTCCAATCACAAAAAATAAATCACAGCGGCATTCGCCGCCACACATTTGAAATAATGACCAAAAGTTTACTTTTTAAACTATAACTTATAGATAAATAAAACCGTAAAAAGTACAGCCAAGTTACGTTATATTATTGTAAGCTTTTACGAACAAAGAATTAAAACTATGAAGTCTCTTGTCCCACTGAAATAGATATGACCGCGAAAATGAGAAACAAAACATTATTTGCCATGTACTTTGTTAAAATTACTAGTAACATGTGAGTAACTCTTGAAAGAAGTAAACAGTATGATTTCAAACACAATCAATTGACTATTTCACCCATACTTTCGTTCGTGGCCAGGACGTTTTTTAATTTGACTAATTTCAATTAACTAATGAACTGGTGAGGAATCTGGTAAACGTTGTAATTGAAGTCTTAATGAAAGAGGTGAGTCGTACAAGTCACGTAATACCAATCCCTGATAGCTTATTTTGTGGTTCATTTGCTGCAAAGTATACTGCGTTGTTGGTACTCCGAACTCATATACCAGGCCGTAATTCCGTTACGGCATATAACTAGGGAAATTTTAGAACGATCATTGGTCAATTCAAGACAACCATGGTGCTACAAGTAATACTGGTTATTCAGACATGGCTATGATAGTATACTACTATACATCAATATAGACGATGAATCTAATTATGTTTGGATAGCAGATAAATGTTACTGTATTTTTAATATTTAAATTAGAGGATATTCACGCGAAGATGTAAACACGGGTGTATTGATATTTGTTTGATTGATGTTCAAATCACTCAGAGGGATGCCGGGTGGGTTATGCAGTAGATCTCGATTGTTATTGTGGCGATGGTCTCTATTGGTCACGGATTTTATTTTATCTAAAAGTGATAGATATTGATAGGTATTATCTATTTCTATATAGTATAATTGTACTATATGACGTATTGGAGATTTTATCACTTTTGACCGGTGACATTTTTTTTAATGAAAACACAGCTTTACATTATCAAACGATAATGTAAATCTCTATTCTCAAGTATAGTCATCTCACAGAAAGAAAACAAACAATTTAATATACATTTGTTTAATTCTGATATTGGCTATTTACAACAACAAAAATGAATCCTCACAGCGCCATATTGGGTGAAAAGAAAGGTCTATAGCAAAATAATGCGCGAGGCGAAGCCAAAAACATTATCGCGTCTCTTCCCCGGGGGATTCATTATTGCTTAAATAATGCATTTAAATGACATAAGTTAATAATATATTGACTTCAAAATTACGATAGCCACCCTCTAGTATTTATGGGTTAGAACTGCTACGTGTTACGGTATCTGACACTAATACCCGAATGTTGAATCTTCAACAGGGCGAGGCGGGGTTGATATGTGGAGTTCAATACCAGTGAACTTGAAGCTATACTAGTATTTTAATTTATAAAATTATAATTGATACCAAGATGAATTTAAATAAAAAAAAAGGCCTCCGAGACAAAGTTATTCGACTTTTATGCTGAAATAAACAAATATTATTTAGTAAATAAATAAATAAATAAATACAATCGTTTGAATTGTGGTATGAGCAGGTGTTTCGTCAAATTGCGTAGGCATGGCAACACGATGTCACGGACTAAATAGTTACTTTACTGGCGAGTAGTTTCTTAATTGTTTTATTTGTATTACAGTTAGCAATAGATTTGAATGATTTGTCGTAAATTTGGGGTGGGCGATCAGGTAACCGTGAACGATCAGGATGTGCAGCTTATGTGTCAGCGTATTTACATTGTGGCGTTACTCGTAGGTGGATGGGTGTATCCGCTGGTTGTAACAGCCTAACACTAATTCGTTTCTTGCAAAAACCATCAATAATTCAAGAAAGCACAGATGACGTCACAACAGATGCATGAATAAGGAACGGCGATGTCGTTAATTTCCTGTCGGAACTATTTTTAACATATCAAAACGATATCATAAAGGGACAAATGGAATTTATTGTTTCAGAAGACATGTAATATTAGAACACGATCCCAATATATCGTCCGACAGGGGAATGCGTTTGTCAATACGATTGGACTATTCCATTTGACATCGGGGTATAACACTCACGCTGTGATGATAATACTGTCGTGATCGTCTATTTTAATAATTAATTACAGTACCCCATATAGTTGTTCTATACTCAATTGAATATTTTCTCGATGCTTATGTTTATGAATTACTATAAAACACGTCCACTAACGGGTATTTTTCCATTACAATAAAATTTCGTTTTAATAGGCACAATTAAATGGACGTTTATTTCCAGTTAATTTTTGCATATATTTGAATTACTGAAATACACCTGTGAAATCGGTTGTGAAATACGAGGCAGCACGTCAACGGACACAACTCGTGCCGAATATTTATAGGAGCGTACCCCCCGGACGCCTTCTAGTATTAATATGCAAATAAGTACCTACATGTCATTTGGGAGAAGAAAAACCTAAACCGGTCGGACGGATGTAACCTTATCGCGATCGTCGCAAAATGGCTCTTGTATTACACCTCCAGAATGCCCAGTTTTTGAAAGGACGATACGATAGACAAGGAAGAGTCACTTTTCGAGGTAAGTAATACAGGTTGTATGTGGAGATATGCGCATTGTTTGGTGGCGGGACTTATCCGTGTTCAAGTTAGCTAGCCGCTGTGTGTGTTTATGTTGCTTTCGCTTTCCGGACCATGGGAGAGTTATGTGATCAGCTGGGGGACCGATCGCACTTGGTCCACTTGTGGTTGTTAGTCTTGACATCGTTCACACGTCTTACAGGTGTGCTTGACTTCAAGAGTACACTATATAAGTTTTATTCACATAGACAGACGAATGATTTCGTATTACTATCTCGGTTTTATTTCAATCTTCGAAGTCATGCCCGCATAGCCACTCGTGTGTGCCGTGAGTCGTTCAGTAAAGGCAATGAATAGCAATATTGTGAAAACGAGATAGAACTATTTACGCTTGAATGTATTTATTCGTGTCCATGTAGTCGACAACAATTTAAACTAATATCCCACATACGACATTTGACAACCAATACGCAATAAATAAAAACGAACGCGTAAACATAGGTAGGTGTATTTTTAGAATGAATTCACATACGTCACAACGCACGCCTTGTATTTCTTTCCAGTTGTGCAGGTAGGCGAACACAACAATTGTGCAACTTTTGAAATATTTAAAACATTTAAATGCCAATTTGTTCACTCCAGATTGGCAATGACCGGACATTCAGTTGTATCCAATATCCTGATGTTAATACTGAAACAATTACATTGTCAAATATAACATTTTTGTTGAATAAGACCATTGATATTTTTGGCTCATATCTGCATAATTTGTAATTTAGGTGAGATTGAGGAAAATCCACACTAATCCCTGATTTTATCCCCGGGGTGGAATATATCAACCTTTTACTGCATATTTTAAAAACTTGTTATTTTAATTTCAAACAACGTATCTCCGTAATTAATAGTTTCTTTGTCAAAATGAATACATACATGTAATAGTGTATTGAGGCTGAGTCTAGAATGTACTGTGTATCACTGTACACTGTTACTATTAAAAAAATAAAAACAGGAAATTGCTGAAATATTTAGTAAGAAATGATTAAAAAAAAAATATTATATCAATAATGGGAAAACGGAACATCAATTTGAAAAAGAAATTACCATTTCAGCCTGGGGTAATTTCATTTTTTCATTGTATTACTGAACCCAGAGTGCAGAGACTGACTATAGATTTGTTGTATTATCTATAGCTATATCGACACAACACAATGGCATTACCTTAGCCACAAGTAACGATATATCTAGTAAGCGTCATATAGATCTGCCGAAAGGTCATTCAATCATTAATTATTTTTAAAAAAAAATGTGCTAAACAAAAACAAGAACCTAAATGTATTCACCTGTTGAGGAAATATCATTACTTCTTAATCAAAAATTAATTATTGTTAATTACAGTTAAAAAAATTATTATGCAAAATGTTACATAACAAATTTAGTGATTGTTAAAACAATATGTGTGAAACTGTATGTAGAGAGTGTTTGTCACATGACTAGCACTACGTATTATTGCCCAATTATTGTAATATGTCACATTTTTATGTTGATTTTAGCCCTGATGAATAGATTTTATTTTTCATAATTGATGGCAAATAAATATACATAACATTTTTTTATTATTAAACTAATAAGAATTATGTATAGTATGAATTTGCATGAAAAATTGTTATATTTTAATATTTAAATAATGCAGGCTTCTGCAGATTTTATAAGATAATAATATTTTTCCAATATTTAAAAATTAGGTTACGCTTTGTGAGACATAAAATATTGTAATTATTGTGTTTGCTTTTACTTCATTTTGTTACTGTATACATATCAGATGGTTTTGTGTGCACATCGCTAGCTATTTGCTAGTCTGTTAAAATATTGAATTTTTTTGTCTGTAGCCTAGCATTTATTGTTTTATATGTGGGGGTGGGTGGGTGTTCAGGTTATGTAGTTTATTTTATTTTATTTATTTTCAGCCAAACCTTTCAAATAAAATTTTTCTTTATTTAACTTACTATCAATAACAACAAATGTACAATAAGGGATTAGCCGCCAGAAAGTAGGGGGGGGGTAGTATTACTATACAGATTACTCATTTCCATCATTTTGGTTTCGAGATGTTTTATTTTTTTTTTTTTGCTGCTTTTTTTCAAGTTTTTGTTCAATTATTATATTTTTGCAGTAACTTTCTCTATAGATTTTTTTTGTCAAAACTTTTCTCTATGAGAATTATGTTTATCATATTGCACTTCCAAAGAGTTTCTGTTGGCAATTACAAAAACTATACAATTAAAATGCAAAAAATATAATTGTAATTAATAAACTATTCAGCCAATGAAATCCAGATGCAATAAATGAAACAAATGTTACTACGGTAACAGAATTGAAACCAATATAACTTGCTAACACATAATAATTCATACATTAACACAGATAAGATTATGAATTTGGTTCATACAATAAACCATACATGTATCAGTGAAATTCTGTAAACCATACATGTATCAGTGAAATTCTGTAAACCACTTAATTTT